AAACAATTTCTCCATGGATCACTAAGAGATCCTTACTATATATATGAATACAATATATCTATATAAATAAATTATTAAGTTTGTTTGCCGTAATTGGAATTACGGAAATTGGTTTTCCCTGAATTCCCGTGTTTGTTTCACGTAATTGGTTTTCCGGAATGTAATTCATTTTCCTAGTAACAGAATTTTATTTGTGTTTTCTGTAAAATGACTTACGGATTCATTTTCCGTAAGTCATTTTCCGAACTTTTCACTTCAAAGAATAAATACTCAAAATAATTTTATTTTATGAATTTAATATTAATATTTATAATATTATAATATTATATTTATAATATTATATAAAATAATCAATTATATTATAATAATATAAGATATTATATTTTTATTTTAATAATATATAATAAATATTTTTATATATTTAATAATGAATAATATTATTTATATATTTAAATAATATTTTAATAAAGATATTTAAATATACTAATTAATATTTTTAAAATATAATATAACACTATTACTTTAATAAATAATTAATATAATTTATAATATTTTATTTCACTAAAATATACAAAAATTATTATTTTTATTAATAAAATTATAAAAATAATATTTAATAATAAATAAATTATTTTAATATTTTAAAATAATAATATTAATTTTTATGATAAATAATATTATTTATTATATTTAATATTTGTAATAAATAATTTTTATAAAACTCTTCAACTAGTAGAAAAAGGATTTAAATAGCATCTTCCAAACATCATAAAACGTTTTCCAGATGTTTTTCAGAAAAATGTAATTCATTTTACGGAAAACCTTTTCCGGAAAACGTTTTTTATAAATGTAATTCATTTTCCAGAATTCAAATTCCAGTAATTCATTTTTCAGTTCCAGTAATTCAAATTTCAATAATTCATTTTCTGAAAAACCAATTACAGTCAAACAAACATGATATTCTGGTGAATAGACATCTACGATGATTAATTCCATCCCATTCAATATGTTTTCATACTAAAAACACGTGATATTCTGGTGGAGTACGTACCTTGGTTGGCTGAGGAGGGAATAGAGGTGAGAAAAGAGTTGCCGCAAACGCGTTCTTCTTTCTCTCTCGAGGGAAGTTCGATCCATTCTAGACCCAAATAAATGTATGTCCGATTCGTTTATATTCAAGAAAAAACTCGTTTATAAGCTCATTTACTCGATTCTCTCTTTTCTTTTCTTTTTTTATATTATAAATATTGGTGAACCTAAAGATTAAATTAAACAAATGATAAACTTTAGAATATAAAATGTGAAGTCTAATGAGTTTAAGCATTAGTGATATTATTTCATTATTTCCCCTTTATTTCACAGCCGAATAAATATATTACATATGCTAAACCAACATATTGACGAACATATAAACGAATATATTTGTGAAAGTTAAACAAACTAAATAAGAATACATAAAAAAAATAAACAAACACAAATACAACTTTATTAGTTGAATCCGATATTTTTTTACACTATTATTCACCGTTCACTTCAACAAGCTATAGGTTAACATCTTTATTAAAAAAATATTTAATACTTGAATAAAAAAGGCAAAAACCTTTGATCTCGCCTTTATATACGACCCACCATGTCCCCTAATGCATATACCGACACACTCTTTTCCTTGCTAATCTACTTGCCATCTTTGCTTTTTATCTTTAGCTGCATATATACGATCCTCACATATCCATTGATTGTACCGAAGATGATTGCCGGAAGCCTCCAAGGAGCTGCTGATACGAACCGGAAACATAAGGGAAGAGGTGGTCAGAGCTGGTTCCGGTGGCCGTGGCATGACGACCAATGGCCGGTTTTCAAAAACGGGTGAAAGAGAATGGCGAAAGAAACAAACAAGGCTTTGCATTGTTCTCTACTCCCAGAATTTCTAGGGAGATACCACCATTGCATTGCGGGGAATTGAGGGTCGCGGTCCGATTTCACTTAACTCTCTAGTTTCTAGTCCTATAACCCCTTTTCTTTTTTGCTTGTTTAATCTAGAGTTATGTACGTTTCTTTTGCTTATGTTTTCTTTCTTATATATGAAATATATTATTTAGGTTATGAGATGAATGTAGGATGTAAGAGATGCATACGAGGTAGCTTTTGTTCTTAGAGTGGTTTTGGGGTTCGGATAGTTTTTGAAGATAAAAATGCTGCTGGGAATGCATTGCTTACATGCACCCACCATGTAATTTGCTTTTTACCGAGTTGAAATTACTGAAGATAACTCATTTCTCTGTCCCTAATAGCACTCACTAATTGGAGTAAATTTGAGGAGGTTGCCCAATTGTTACATGGTAAATAGAAACCCCCCCCCCCCGGTTTGTTATCTTAATCATTGGCTGATAAAAAGGAAAAGAAAAAGGGGGTAAATGTGTTGGACTGAAAAGGTTGGTGATTTGTAAGAAAGGGAATGCATGGGCAGTGGGAGTTGTCGTTTTCATGAAGGGGATCACAAAGCAAGATGCTTGACTTGACTACTGCTGACTTTCTTTCTGCTTTTGAAAGGAAAGAAGATAAAATCTGAAGCACTTTGCAGCACAAGGATTCATTTTCCATCCCCTTTTCTCCTCAATCTGTCAGGGATTCTCCTCTCCTCACCCCTGGATTTCAATACCCTTATATTTCTCCAACCCCATTTTAGGCTGCATTTTTTGTTTTTCAAAGAAAGGATGCCATCAAAGAAAGAAAGGGGAAAGAGATCCTCATTTAAAACAGGTCTAATGTTCGAGAAAGGAATGATCAACAAAAATTCAAATAAACAGCTTACGTTTTAGGTTGCAATATCGTGACATTACACGGGTGACACATTAGTCACAAAAGCACAAGGGCGAGGGATCAATATTGTGATAAAATAATTTTTGTTACACATCGAGTTAGAGTGTTAGAAATGTCATGAGTATGAGTATTTAATATTAATTGATTGAATTATTTTTAAATAAATATTATCATATACTTATTCTAAATTAACAAAAAAAAATCTTATAGCTCATAACTAATAAAGGAGTCTAGCTTAATTGTTTAGACGATAAGTTATCTTCTCAATGCCTAAGTTCAATTCCCCTCATGTTACTTGCTTTTGCTTCACTTAATTTTTTCGTCCAATTAGAGGGTGATAATTAAGCATAAAATCAATCAATTGAAATTAAAAAAGCGTTATTTTATCATATTATGATATGTGTTAGAATTTAATTGGTGATTAAATCTATTAAATCAACAAAAAATTATAAATATTAAAAACTATTTGTGTAATTATATTACTTTTTAATAACCATGTCAGCTCTTCCATTAAATGTTAACAAAAAGTTATTTGATTGATAAAAAATAAATAATTAGATGGTCCGATTGATATAATTAAAAAATTGATGGTCATAATAAAAATAAAAAATAATAAAATAGTCACACACATATATATATATATATTTTAAAATAGTCACACACATATATATATATATATATATATAAATTAACCAAAATTTAGCTATATTTCAATGATGGGCCATTGACAGGTGCTCCTTATGCCCAGATTCAAGTACGGCCCTGGATTTGAAAAAGAGAATGGCGATGTGGAAAATTCATAATTTTAATTGTTGGAAGTCTTTTACGGAATATGAAAATAGGGTAAGTTAATTTATTTTTTTACATGCTCGGCAGAAAACGTCTTCTTCAAAAAGTAATTTAATTAAAGGACAAATAAAAATTTAGCCTCTTAATTTTTATAAAAATTCAATGAGAAGAATGTTGAGACTCTCGACTATAATTAAGATTTTAGAGTTTCTTATATAGAGACGTATTTAATAAGAAATCATTTTATCTTATGTAATAAAAAATATCTAATTTTTATAAAATAATATTGTAATAATTAATTTTTTAGTAGATATTAATCTCATAAATTTTGTCATATAATTTATGTTATTTTAAATGATTGATGCTCATAATTTTGAGAGACGTGAACAATCATATATTCTTTTTGTTTTATGGGTAAATTACACTAAGCATCATTGAACTTTACTCTATTTCTTATTTCACTCATTATATTTAAATTCATTCAATTTTCTCATTGAATTTAATACAATTAACATTTTTGGTCACTCAGTCGTTAAATATTTAACATCGTTAAAACGGTGTTGTTTTAGAAAAACAAAATTTTTACCAAAACAATATCGTTTTACATCTATATAATAACTCATTTATAACGTCGTTCAGTGAGAAAACGACTGAGTGACAAAAAATGTTAATTGTGTTAAATTCAATGAGAAAGGTGAACATATTTAAAGTAAAATGAGTGAAATAAGAGAGTGTATAAAGTTCAGTTATGATTGGTGTAATTTATTCTTGTTTTATTATAGGGTAAATTATACATTTAGTACCTAATTTATCAATTTAAATCCATTTTAATATCTATACTTTCAATTTTTATTCAAAATCTTACATAAATTTTAGTTTTTATTTTATTTTAGTACTCTCATTCAAAATTTAACATTAAATTTTAAAAAAATTTTGAAATTTTATGTACTAAAATAAATCAAAACTAATAATTTATGTACTAAATATGTTAGATTTTTAACAACAATGAAATAAAAACTAAATATTAAGTATGATTTAAAAAAATTAAAAATTTTGATAATAAAACAAACAAAAACTAATAATTTATTTACGTAGTTTACCTTTTATTTTCTTGTATCTCAATTTATAATGCTTCCTAAATCGATTTTTTTTAAAAAAAATTAATAATAAAAATATATAAATAATTATTCGGTAATATAATAAAATTAATTTTACCTTACAATATCTTTGCGTTCACTGCTTCTTGCAAATAAATAGCTCACCTTCCTTATCACTTATTTGTACACAAAGATAACTGTTTTCTAATTGTACAAAAGTAAATAAAGAAGAAAATATACATATAGAAAATTAAAAAAAAAAAAACCCAAGATGAAGGGAAAAAATAAAATTAAAAATAGTTCTAAGAAAAGAAAGTTGCCAAACAACCCTCTCAAAACAGTCGTTGATTGAAATAGAGAATCGTACGCCAAGAAGAAGGGGGGAGGAATCAGGCTGAAGAAAACCAGGAGAGCAAATCTTGACCGACGCGCCTACGCGTGCAACCGACGCGCTGATGATCGGTTTTGAGAGGGAATCGACAGAGCGGGCAATTGAAATTGAGATGATCCAGCCAACCGTCAAAACAATCCTTATGTAACACGTGGCGGCAGCAATCGAGTTTCCTCACCTGTTCCCCGTCTCTCAGCCCGCACAGGCACACGATACAATCGGAGCCCTTTCCTCCCCCGGCACCGCCGCGGTATTTGTAGGAGAAAGTCTTGTTTAGGTTGAGCTGCTCCGCGAGTACCATTAGGGTGGCAAGACCGGAACCCAGGAGTCCGACGTCGTCGATGGTGGTAGCGGTCTGGTCAGGGCAAGGGAACAGCCCAATCGCGTGGAGGAAACCCGAGAGGAGACGGCGGAGATAACCGACGCACTTGGCGATTATGGCTACGAGGAGAAGAGGGATCGAATCTGAGGACACGTCGTTTAGCTGGCTTTGTAATCCCATCCTTTTAATTTCAGAAAACAAAAATTAGGGTTTTGGATGGGAAGTAAATTATAGAGAATATATATGTTTGTGTGTGTATGGATTGAAAAAGGCTGAGTGTAAGATAATGGAAAAGAGGAGATTTTATATACCACGATATGAAAGAAGGAAGACAGAGATGACGTTGGAAAAGAAGAGGAGAGGAAAGGCTAAAAAATGGGAGATTAAGCCCATGTGTGGTGGGCCCCACTTTGTATATATTCTTTTCATTTCATACATTTTAAAAATTTTGTTATTCGAATTATTTTTTAATAGTCTAAATTGATTGTATTCATTTAAAATATTTCTTCATCGTTAGTAATATATATATATATATATATTTAAAAAATTTAAAATATATTAGTGGTTAAAAGAATCGTAATTATTTTATGAAGTTAAGGGTTCGAACACCAGTAATTATAACAGAGTAATTAAACATTTATGAGAATATTTAAAACAATTATTACTTTATAATCACTTTAATTTAATAAAAAAATCAAAAGCATCCATTTACCACATATTTATAAAAGTGTGTATATGTGACATGGCTTCCTTTCGCCCTAAGTTTGGCACCAATGGGGGATAAAGAAAAAGGTGTGATGTGAATACATATTGTCTTTATAAATAGTTGGATGCATTATAATGAGTTAAAAGATTAGAGGGATGTGATCCTAAAAGAAGCTAAAGGGAAGGCGTAGAGATGTATGCTGGTGGGAGTGTGACCCCCCTATAAGTGGGAGATCAAAAGCACATGCATTGCACCATTACCTATAGACATGGTTACCTTTTGTTCAACTAATTCCATATATATAAAAGTGTTAGAGTATGCCCAAAGACCAATCATATGATGATTGTAATAATATTTTTATTTACCGATTTTATTGAATAAATGCATTGCCACTATTATTTTCAGGTATATATATGTGTTTAACATAAACTAGAAGATAATAAAGTCCATATAATGACATAATTGTTATTATTAAAAGATCTCTAGTCAAGTATTATTATGGGCATGGACAATAATAATACGCTTAAGACTAACATGTTATTGATTGATGACAACGAGTTCTCATTGACATAGAGATATCAGAATTGATACATGATTATATTGTTAGAGAACAATGTATTGGATTGACCCACCATGAGCATATGTCTTGGATTATTATGTGACAGTCATAACATTGCTCATGGTGATGACTATATGTATGATCCTCAGAGTTGAGATCAATATTATCCCAACATATATTGTTGTATGTTTTGATGCAGCTAAACAAGCTCCGTAACTGGTTGCTCTATAAAGACTGTTATTGAATATATCTCAATATATGTAGTGGGTGTGTATGATTAAGATAGGATATGTCCTTCCTACATAATAGGAAATATATCACATGCCACTTGATTGAGTAAGACTAGAAACGCATGGTCATGCTCGAATAAGTTGATATGAGATATCATAAACTATTCGTTAATTAAAGTCTACTCTAGAAATCAAGAAACAATAGATGGGTTATACAAGTGTGACTATTCCAAGACTTGTGTCTATTCTAGATATAAAAGACATAAGGATATAATACATAAAAGTGTTAATCACCAAGATGATATGTCGAATCATATTTTCTTGTAACTTAGGTGACAATGATATATTGCTAGATGTCACTCATTGTATGTAATATTAGAATTGTTCTAATAATTACTTCTAATGTTAGAAGAACCTACAGGGTCACACCCTAAGATTGAAATGAGCATAGATGTACAATTTGTTGTACGTTACTAAAATATATCTAGAGTTAATTAAGTATATATTTTAATAATCCTGAATATTTAATTTCAATTAATTAAATATAGATTTAATTAATTTGAAATAATAAAATCACTGATATGATTAGGGTAACTTGGATATAAAAGGATTATTAAATTCTAATTAATTAAATGTAGATTTAATTAATTTGAAATAATAAAACCCTAATATGACTAGGGTAACTTGGTTATAAAAAGGTGTGTTAGGTCTAGCAGCCATTTTTTGTAAGAACACACACACAAAACTTTCAGCCACTTTCTCTCAAAAACTGTTTTGGGGAAAAACAAAATTGCTCTCAATCGGGTGAACTGAGTAGAGGCCGAGATGTGATTTCGTGGAGGCTTACGATTCGAACCGATCTACACCACCAGAATTCACTGCTTTCCTTGCTGTTTTTCAAGGAACCCGCTGTAAGTATTCGCATCTTTTCTTCCCGATTTCAGTTTTTCGTACTTGGATCGCTGGTGAAACCGTCGAGTTTTGTTTCCGCTGCACCATGGGATGCGCCGACGGTCCCAACAAAAAGTTCGTTAATAATCTATAGTCCCACTTTATATTATATTCATCAACATTAATTAAGGTTCATGTGTGTTCACACTTTAGACAACAGCGCACATAATGCTAAAGATTAAGCATAGTTTTAGACCTCATTCTTACTACTAATTATTATTATACTTTAATATGAATGTCGGCTATTGCTAAACCTTCAGCCGAAATGTGGACTTCAAACCCTCTCTTTCTTTATTTATGGTATTTTAATATAATTTAATCAATAATCTACATTATAATGAATAATTATCTTTTTTTTATAATAGAATATATCATCATATGCAATTGTTTACATCCAAGAGCTTTAAAGAGAAATACACCCCTTTTAAATACATCATAGTTATTTTCTCGATAAGCAATAACATGTTATTAATTTAAATAATAATTAATATAAAGTCATTGAATAATTCTAATAATCAAAAATAATATTTTTCAATTTTAAATATAAATAATTACGTATACAATATATATATATTATAACGTGTGTGTGTAACTTGCTTTTTCTTCAAATGTCAAGTTTGTTGATTTTTTTACACAAACTATGCACGCAGCCACGCATGACATGAATGATTTAAAGGTAATAGGGTTAATTACGTGCCGGTGACCTGATAAATTCAATTAATTTTCTACTAATCCGACAAATTTTAAGGTCAAGCCGACCACGTTTTATTAATAAGCACGTCGTATCAACCTTTTGTCATTATTTTATTTTAAATCTTTTAATGAATAACATTATTTATTTTTGTTAATATTAAAAAATAACATATTTGATGTTAATTTAATGAATATTTATTTATTTTAATTAATTCAATTTTAGGAAAAAATGAATGTCAAAAATTAAAGATTAAAACGTTTTTTTGGGGAAAAAAGTGAGGGCAAAAATGTCATTATAATTAAATTTTAACCTATTAATCCGTGCATGAGGTGGATAGGCCGATAGAAGAGCCTGGAATCTGCATTATCAACGTTGTTGATTACATTGCACCACCTAATTTGTTGTTTTGGGTGGATAATTAATTAACTTTGGGCACCTAAATTCAACACTTCTATTACAATTTCAGAGATTTGATTGGTCCACTTGCCCGGCCAAGCCTTCCTATTTAAGTAAACATCGAAACATATTTTTCCCATAATAAAATTAAACTTTTTATGAAATTTATTAATTTATCAAATGATTAAGGATGTTTAAACTATTTTATTTTATGTGAATTTAAATTTTGACATCTGTCATAAAAATATAATATATCTATTTAATAAAAAAATAAAATATTTTTTACATTCTATCTATGCGCCTCTCATAAAATAAAATTGATCGAATTATAAATAAACGTGAACTTATTCTTTCGGCGGTTAGTAAAATATAAAATTTAAATTTGTGATTATTTATTTCATATAACTAATTGCAAATTGATATAATTAAAAAAGTCGTGAAAATTAAATCGGGAGGGGTAGTTTGGCCACCATCTCCGGCATGCTAGAGGGATTGGGTTTTAATAAATTATTAGTGTAATTTTTTTAAATCATTTGTATATTAACATTATATTAAATCAAAACAAACAATAAATAAAACACTTAAATTTTAAATCAAATAACTTTAAAAAAATTTCTTTAAAATGTTTAATTTCAAATTAACTCGTGAACTAACTCATAATAGTGCATTAACTTGTGAACTAATTCATAATAGTGTATTTCATAATATAATACTGTATTAACTCGTGAAAGAATTTTTAAAATTTTAGGAATGAAGGAATTTAAATTTTTTTAGAGAATGATAAAACTGATTGAATCATAGTTTACAAATTTTTATTTTATTTATTGTAATTTGAAACTTGAATTGTGACAATGAAGGGCATGTTTGATCAAGTGTTAAAAGCTTTCACAATCTATTTTTTAATTATTATTTTATTTAATTTGTTTAAAATGTAATTGATGATTCATATAAAGTCATATATAAATATAATATAAGTAGATATATGCATAGAGCTAAATAGTGTTAATTAAGTTTTAAATTGATTAGTGTTATTATTGTAACATTATGCATAATATTATATACATATTTATATTTTAGATAAATAATAAATACAAACAAATATTATTAGTGATGTTGTGAGATAAATATCATAATTCATAAACACAAACAAAAATAAATACATATAATAATTATGAATTGTTGATAAAATAACCTTACTACAATAATTATAGTAATTACTAACACCTATCAATATCCGATCAAATGATCTAAATTATAGAGAAGAAAGAAAGGAAGAAAAGTACTCATTCACTTGTATGTTGATTAAGTATATGTAATTAGGGATAAGTATTCAATCGAGATGAGTTGAATAAAAAAAGTGAGTTAGTTAAGTTGACAAGTTGTATTTTATGATTTAATCTTTATTTAAATATTAACATGTATATTATATCAATTTAGTCGTACTTTTATGCCAATATGAGCAGTTGATCTTATTAAAAAGATTAAATGTAAAAAATTATAATGAATGTTTACAATCATATCTGTAAATTGGATACATAGTTATGACATTTTTATAACAATCGACATGAGAAATTAATCATTTGAGATCAGACAATGAGCATACAAGTACAGGGTAAAAACATCTTAAAAAATCTTCGAACAAAAGATAGGTAAGAGCATGTCTGGATGCATCGTTTAACGAATCACAACAGGAGACCAAACTACTAAAATACCACTGAGAAACACAAATCGGGCCAAAGCATCATGAGAAAATTATATACGAACGTAAACCGCGTATCCAAATCTAATACAACGATCTAAAGTAGGGAAGATCAACATGATAACAAATAAGCGTCATCTTGTTCAATCACAACTACATAAAATTCAACAACGAAAATAATAAATAAAAAGAACGATCAAATGACCTATAACCAAAAGCATGAAAAAAAGAAGAAGGAAAAAACGTGTCATGAAGATAAAATTATTAAAAAGATAAAGATGAAAGATAAGAAAATAAAGAAAAAAGAAAAAAATATAATCTGTAAATTTATCAAAAGTTACATAATAATCCTCGATTATTAATTTTTAGATAAAATAATATAATGATATATTTAACCATAAACTTTTACATTTTATTTTAAATTTACTTTCATTTTAAAAATGTAACTCTCAATATTTTTATATTGTTTAAGAGCTAATTTAGTGTAAACTCAAATATTTTTAAATTTTTTAAAATTCAAAATTTAATAATATTTTAATTTTTGCTTCCAAGATCATGATTAATGGGCTTGATGCATCAACAACAGGTACAATAACAGGAAAGACATTGTTGTGAAGGCCCGCCACCAACTCCTGTACGCCCCTCCTTTTAACTGGATCCTTCCACGAAATCGTCAAGCCATGGAGAAACACGCATTGATCCATTGATAGAAACTATTTAAACTATGGAAATCAATTAATTTATGAATTATTTGAATGTTCAATTTGAAGGCCAGTGATAAACATTGATCCGTTCTCTATTGTCTCAAGCAGGTGATAAACAAAACCATAGAATATATCTCTCCGTAAAGTTTTGCTTTTTCCCCCCTTTGACTCGCGTGTTTGGTTTGGTCTGCAGCTGTTTCAGAAGGTTGAAGTTTGTAAACCACGTGCTAGTCGCTTGGCATCAGCTGAGATTTATGTTTTGTGGCTAAGGTATAAAGCCCCTGCAAAGATTGATCCACGTCTTCTTGATTTCAAACATCTGTTTCAGGGATCGATAGAACCACAAAAGAAGGTTTTTAATTTCATTTTATGTTTCAAAATCTCTTAAATGACTAATGTTGTTTTGCTATTGATTGTATCTCTGCTCATTATTGTTCTTTCTGCCACATACTTGATGCAGGTGATTGATGTACTTAGGGTAACAAAACAGAAGAGACACCGTGATGGGTGAGCTTTCCCTTTATCATACAGCGATGTTACTGCTTTGTTGATAATGGTTGAACGTTGTTATTGAGTTTATTCCTCTGGTATCTGGTTTCAAGGTTTATGTTATGCTTTGTTTCTAACTACATGCCAATTTCAGTTATGAAGATGGGGAGACAATCTCAAAGAAGATGTCTACTGCTGCTGATTTCACTTGGTTTGATTCTCATCTCCAAATCCTCGGTTCAGTTACTACCGTAACCTTTGAGGATCCAGCTTCAAAGAAGGTTCAGTTACTTTTTTTGCAACACTTTTATTTTTTATTTTTTTATTTAAAGTCCAACACAGCAATCCCACGCAACAACCCAAAGTAATTAGGGTTTTTGAACCCTAGTTCTTCCACCATTGCATGCCACTTCCGCCTTCACTATTACCAGTTGTCACCATCACTGACATCACCGTGGTCACCTGTATCGATTCCAAATCCTAACGAATAAACCAAATCAAAATCAAATTATACTATAATGAAACTAAAATCAGATCAACTCCCCGAAAAATTTGAGGAGCCCATACTGTCTCAACCAAACCACCATACCCCACTACCCTAGCCTCTACTAGCTCCTCGCCAAATAGAAACAAGTTTAAAAGGGGTAACCATTTTGAAAAAAAAAGTGAATATAGAGAGGAGCCATTTGAAAAAGAAAAAAAAAAAGAAATAGAATTAGATGAGAGCTTATCTTCAACGTTGATCATCGAGAAGCTTGAAGGACACTAGAGTTGAAGAAGTCAAGAAGTTCTTTCTTAGATCTACGACAGTTGGAAGAGTTATAATCCAATCAAAGCCAAAATTCATACTCAGGGAGTGGATCGACTTCGATCGGTGATCTCTTTCACTTCAAATGATGAATCGGTTTAGGTCGATGGTCCTATATAGGAAGGTGGATCCCCTTCAAAAGTTTGACATCCCAAGGGGCACCAACATCAAGCACAATTTGATGAACCTTTCCTATTGAGCCAAACCCATGCATATAGAGACTATAGAATGCTCTCTCTAGCTAGAGCCATGCCGAACCTCTATCCGTTGTAGGTACTCTAATAGATGTACACAAATGAGGGATGTAATCTAATTTTTTCTTTACTTTAAAGTTGTATAATGAATTTCTTTATTATTTTTAATAAAAGTATTTAAACTAGATATTTTGCGGTTAGGTTTTATTTGAGTAAATAAATATATAAGGTTAGAAAGCATGTCCGGGTAAGATTGCTATTTAATAAAAGCATGTTTGGGTAGATAACATGATGGGGTAGGTGTTATATGTATATTTGAATATCACTTATTTATCAGTTACCTTACCCATTAACTCGTTTCTTCTCAGTTTTGTGTTATTTCTCGCCATTTTTGCATTGCATCATCATGACCTAATGTAAATATGTTGATCCACAATTGACTATCTAAGTGAAAATTTTCATAAGTATAATTTTTTTTCAATCAATTAACCACATACATAGACATACACTAATAGCTGAGGGAAGCTCAGAGAGAATGAGAATGAAGCTCGCTTGAAGATCAGACACCAAAATTGAATGATAGAACGACATCCAAGATTTGAAAGGTGGTCCCATGATCTGAGAAATGGTGTAGTTGTAAATTATTATCTACGATTGTTCCACCTTTAGTCCTCAAGGCATGAAACATGACTCCAACGCCGCAGGGGTATCATCTGAGATAGGTTATAGAGCATTTGAGGGTAGGGTTTGTTCATGGAGTTAATCGTATCGCTTAGCCTAAACGATTAGATAACCGTTATAATAATTATAAGATTTTTTTAATCATTAAGAAACGATTAACTGCTAATGATTAATAGAGAAATTGAAAAATAAAGTATAGACCAACGTCTAATAGGGATATCTCACTAAGTTTTAGAAGTGATATTTTAATTGAATCATAGTTAGGGGTGATTAAAGAATTCGAACTCATATAGTATCGAACTCAATTAGTATCAACCTAATTCGATCTTATAAAATTATATTTTTAAATAGATTTGAATCTAGTTTTATGAAGGATAAAGTATAGTCGATTTAGGCATAAATATTTATACCAAAACGATGTTGTATTTTACTTGTCAATACATATTTAGATTTTAATGGCCTAATGACATAATTGAAGCAGAAATCAAAGTTTAGTACTGTAATTGACAAAATTGAAAACTTAATGGTATAAAAGATACAACTGCTAAAGTTCAGTGGTATCTGGTGTAGTTTATCCTCTTATATTAACATCTATAAATTAATAATATCGGGATCGCGTAATTTTATTAATTTAAAGAGATACTAATTAATCGATGAATTAATAATTTATTAATTTAAAGAGATTTTTTTTCGATTCAACAAAACTTACATTATTCTTCATGGGTAAAATAAATACATTATATTGACTAATTGAATGATGTTCATGCACAAAGTGACTAAATCATTATAATACATAACCCTAAAAAACAAAGCTCATTGTATTATATGACAATAACTAAAACTTAATGCAAAATCATGTAGGGTAAGGAAATCAACCTATGAGTTCATTGTAGGATGAGTTTAAATGTCACAATGTAATTGAATTTGAAAGTAAATAATTTTAATTATATAAGTAATTGTATTAATCGTTAATGCAAGTTAAACATTTGCAACCAATTACGAAGGAGGAGGCACTCATAGTGGTAACAATTATTCATAAATTTTTATTGCAATATGTGAACGCAACATCGAAACTTTTGGATGCAATAAAAAAAGTAGAGATAAAATACAATTAGATTTAAATTTTAAGAAGCAAATAATAATAGAATCATATTTTACTAAGTTATCCTAGTTATATTTGTAATTTTATAGAATTATTAATATATAGGGTAAATTATACGTTTAATACCTAAACTATTAGCTTTGATTCATTTTAGTACCTAAACTTTCATTTTTTTCAAAAATATACCTAAAGTTTAATTTTTGTTTCATTTTAATATCCATTCAAAATTTAACGTTAACTTTTGAAAGAAATTGAAAGTTTAGGTCTAAAACGGACCAAAAGGTACTAAACACATAATATTTTAACGACGGGTACTAAAATGAAACAAAAATTAAACGTTATGTATGATTTTGAAAAAAAAGGTTTAGGTACTAAAACAAACCAAAAATGATAATTTAAGTATTTAATGCATAATTTACCCTTATATATAATATTGAATGAATCATAAATTTATAGAAGGATTTTTTGAAAAATTTTACCCTATTAATTTATCATAATTATTAATTTAGTTTTTGAACCTAAGTCGGACATAAAAAATATTATTTTAGAGATATTATTAAATTATCTAATATTCATTTATTTAGGTTCTACTGTATTTATAAATTACGTATAAATTTTTTAATTTATTTTGCTTTGAGTTAATTTAATTATTAAATTAATATTTAATTAATTATAATTATAATTATTATGTTAGGGAAAAAGGTTAAAATTTGAATTTAAATAGAAAAGGACAAGGCAGAAATCGTTAATTCAGATGGGCAATCTAGTAATCCTATGTTTTTAATGGACTGTTTGGTAACGCTGCTTGTTTATGTCTCATCGTAAACGTTCAACTCCCTACTTCCGGACTTTCCTAGGCCAAAACATTATATATAAAAACGAAAGCCCAAACGTGACTCAATTCATAACAGAAACTCCTAAGCCTCCCCCTCACCTAACTCAATTGCCCTTACTCTTGTAACAATCGAACACCCATTTCCCTCTCTTTCCCAACTTATCGTCGACGTCGCCGCCGCCGAATCACCACCACCATGGCTTGTGTTAGCTTCGCTAAGCTCAACGCGCTTTCATCCACTTGGATCGGCGGCCAGCATCCTTTCTCTCAACGATCCGGCTCGTCAACTCGGCTCGCCACTCGCAGAATCTCACTCCCGATCCGTGCCGGCGCTTACACCGATGAACTCATCAAAACCGCCGTTAGTGTTTTCATCGATCTCTCTTTTCTTTTCCTTTTCAATTCGAAGATTATTTCATATGACGTTTTGTTAGATTTTTTGGTGGCTAAAGATTGATCGATTGTCGTGAAATGATTAAGATCAACTTATGTACAATTTTTTTCTTTGATCTGTAAATCAGAATTTGATTTTTACTTGCAAATTGATTGCCGTCTGGGGTTATAGCATGTATTTGTCATTGATGCTGGATAGACAGATAAGATTTATCACTATTTAACCTTCTTTGTTAACTGTTGATATTTACCGCTATTAATCACAATAATATTCGTTGCATTTGCAATTGTGATGAAGGCCGTTGACCAATTTGCAATCGTAATTTAAATTCATGAATGGAGAATTATGAGAAATTTTGTGGGCTGGCCAGCTTGATGAAGGAGACTGATGAATTGTTTTTTAATTAATTCTTTATTGGTGTAGAAAACTATTGCTTCCCCTGGTCGTGGAATCCTGGCAATTGATGAATCGAATGCAACATGTGGGAAGAGATTATCTTCTATTGGCTTAGACAACACCGAGCCCAACCGCCAGGCTTACAGACAGCTTCTGCTCACAACTCCTGGCCTCGGAGAATATATTTCTGGTTCCATTCTTTTTGAAGAAACACTTTACCAGTCGACAACAGACGGGAAGAAATTTGTTGATGTCTTACATGACCAGAAAATCGTGCCTGGCATCAAAGTAGATAAGGTAGCACTGCTGAATTTCCACGTTTATGCAATTTGAGAATTCTTTTTGTTGTTACTCATTAATTCAATCTTTTACATTCCTTTGTTCCAGGGTTTGGTTCCTCTACCTGGATCAAACAATGAATCTTGGTGTCAAGGCTTGGATGGATTGTCATCAAGATCGGCTGAGTACTACAAACAAGGTGCTCGATTTGCCAAGTGGTAAGTCAATTTTACATAGTTAACTTGTGCCTTATGAAGCTAAATGAAAGTTCTGGTTGGTTTATATATATATACACAACTACACATACACGTATGACGTATTGCAGTTCTCATTCATGAACTGGTGTATTCATTAAAATATTCAGGAGAACAGTTGTCAGCATTCCTTGTGGTCCTTCTGCTCTGGCTGTTAAGGAAGCTGCTTGGGGACTTGCACGTTATGCTGCCATTTCTCAGGTATTAATAGATTTTATCAGTTTCTTATAACT